GCAGGGGGTGGGGCGGCACTGTCCTTTGTGGGAAGATTTCTGTTTATCTGCAAACCCCATGTGACACTCCTGCTGGTAGCTGCTGTCTGTGAATGTGTTTGTGGCCTACAGGGCTCACCTCCTGCCATCCTACACTGTATGGTTGCATTGTTGTCAGGGCCCTTGTCCTTTTAGGCATAGATTCACTCAGAGCTTTTACTCAAAAAGAGCCTCCCAGCCCAATTGCTAATTGGATGTTTTTAGCTGCTCCTGCCAATTTGAAGTGATGCCGCACCACCTAAACGCTGCAGCAGAGTGTCAGCATTTCATTGGCTAGCTGAAATGGAGATTGCCTTTGTTCTTTTCTGCTTGTGTGTGGAATAACTCAGCAAAAGTTCCAGACCTGCTGGAGTGACCTTGTCCTGAGTGGGAGTTTTCGCTCTGCTGAAGTTGGGTGGATTCAGAGAAGATATCTTAGAGATGCATTGCCCAGCTTTTACAGTGTAGCCGGGGGTTACGCTGGCTTTTCTTCTGCTTTATTGTGTGGCCTTAGGCTAGTCATTTCCCCCTCTCTAGGCCTCAGCTTCCACATTGATCAAGCAATGGAATTGAATTAGTTTATCTCTTAAGTGTCCATCCAACTCTGACATTCTATATGGTTCACTGCCACAAAGCAGCAGTAGATGGACCTGCCTGGTGCACGGCTGACAAGAGGAGGATTACTTTCAGAGTGAGGATATTTGGGCCAACTATAAAGTCCAGTGGGGCTGCTGATTAGAAAAGCCTGCTTGGCGTACATGACACATCTTTGTAGTACCGTGATCGTTTTGGCCACATCTACACAACTAGATGGTAGTTTCTGTTACTAAATTTCTCTCTGAATCAACAAGAAAGTTCTGCGACCCCTTAAAATTGTAGAGAAACCAAACTATTAGGAAGAAAGAGTGGGAATTTCTAAAGTTTAGGATTCCTGTATTGAGGGTGCTGCTTCTTGGAGCACTGGGTTAAATTGGAGCCAGGATGGACATGGGGTAACAGTGAAGCTGAGTTGAGTTTTAGAAGTTTGGGGAGGTGATTCCTGGAAATGTGTTGGTGGGAGTTTGGGGATGGGTTGGTCGATCAGAAGATTAACAGCCAGTTTTTTCAAGGAGAAAGGATGTGAAGTAATAGAGTCTATTACTGAGGTCCTTGGGGGAGATAAGTGGGATAGAAAGTGATTGCTTAGCTTTGTAACTATTTAGAAGTCTCTTGAGACCATATGTTTGGGAAGCCAGAGCAAGAGAGGGGAGACTTAAGCGAACAGAAAGCACTGGGGCTCTTCAAAGACAGGATTCTTTTGGTTAAAGGATGAGGGCATTTTTCTGACCTGTCATTATCCTTCCTTCCTAGTGGATGCTGGGCACAGAGCTGTCATCTTTGACCGATTCCGTGGAGTGCAGGACATTGTGGTAGGGGAAGGGACTCACTTTCTCATCCCATGGGTACAGAAACCAATTATCTTTGACTGCCGCTCTCGACCGCGTAACGTGCCAGTCATCACTGGTAGCAAAGATTTACAGAATGTCAACATCACGCTGCGCATCCTCTTCCGGCCTGTGGCTAGCCAGCTCCCGCGCATCTTCACCAGCATCGGAGAGGACTACGACGAGCGCGTGCTGCCGTCCATCACTACAGAGATCCTCAAGTCAGTGGTGGTGAGTGAGCAGGGCCCTGGGCCTCAAGCACAGAGCACGTCTCCAAGCAGTTGCTAGGTGGCAAGAAGAGTTTGGCAGTGGGTTGGTTGGGATTGTGGCTGTTTGTTAGTTTCCTGGTTCCTTGTCTGCTCCCTCATTAACCTGACCTACGTTTCTGCCCTTCTCTTTGAAACCAGGCTCGCTTTGATGCAGGGGAACTAATCACCCAGAGAGAGCTGGTCTCCAGGCAGGTGAGCGATGACCTTACGGAGCGAGCAGCAACCTTCGGGCTCATCCTGGACGATGTCTCCTTG